CTTTGACTCCCACCACAAACTTGGAGTAATCAAGACCTTACAACACCGGGCACAACATGTTCCCTCTAAGCCTGAATGAAGGGAAAAAGAGGGAACACACACATGCAAAGGAGGCTCTTAAAACATGTGGATATCCTAATTGGGCTTTCATCAAGTCACCAAAGATAGAAAAGAAGATTGGACACAAACTAGGGAGGATAAGAAAGACAGACGCAACAACATTGTCATCTCCTCTGTAGCCGGTGTATCAGGAGAGTTTTCTCCAAGCACGACATCCCAGTGTACTTCAGACCCAGCAACACACTCAGACAGAAACTGGTTCATCCCAAAGACAGAACTCCTAAACACAAACTTAACAATGTGGTGTATGCTGTACAGCACAGCGAGGAATGCCCAGACCTCTACATTGGAGAGACCAAACAGCCACTTCACAAGCGCATGGCACAACATAGAAGAGCCACCTCCACAGGACAAGACTCAGCAGTCATCTGCATCTAAAGGTCAAAGGTTACTCTTTCGAGGATGCCAATGTTCACATTTTGGACAGAGAGGACAGATGGTTTGAAAGAGGAGAGAAAGAAGCATCTATGTCCCTGACACCGTAACACCCACTCACACCCTGGGTCATCTGACCTCAGGAAATCACATGATAGGGTGGGGCTAGGTTTCACAGCGGATTCACCCAAAAACCTGGGCTAATTGTGACCTACACCCGTTTTCACACATTGACTCATGTGATTAGGCAGAGGATCAACAGGGGGTTCATGACCCTTTTGGGGGACACTCCCCCATGACTTAAATCTGGGACTCTCCACCATTTGAACTGAAGAAGCTTCTCGGATGAGAGGTGAAACATCTTCAAGCACCTTAAAGAAGTCCAGACGCTTTTCTTTCCAAGCTCTTTAGAACAGCAAGGATACAATAACACATAAACCAAACCACTAACTGGAAGTACAACCCACTGGCTCAAGAAATGGGAGCTGTAGAGAGTACAGCAAAACAACCTTTTCTAAAAGCATAACCTGGACAGGGGGCGGAGCTGAAGATGCTAAAAAGAGATCTGAACCAAAGGGAACAAGAAAATTGGATTTTGCGAAAGCACATGGAAAGGGTATGGATGCATGTTAGAGGGCACTGTAAAGTAAAAGAAATCTCACACAGCATAAGCAAATGCTGCAATGCTACAAACATGTTGGTAAATGTCCTTGCCTCTTACAATACAATAAAAAAAACTAATGAGATGTCACAGGCTGTTTCACACAGACGGGAAAACGGTTGTGTTGAAATTTTGTCTCACTCCTAGGAGTGTTTACAGTGCGCAATAACTGT